GGAACCTGTGCTGATCTCTTGCTTAGCCTCCTGACTGCTGTCTTTCATTATAGGCATGTGCCATCATGCCCAATTTGCAGGTTCATTCAAAGATAAGTTCAGTTTTGCATGTTAAAACTTCCTGTTTCTTTTCACTATAGTTGAATAGACATTGACAGTTTCTTATATTAACTTTTATTTATTTAGGTGGTGATGCAGATTGGGCCCAAGGCCTTGGACCATTCTGCCACTAAATTATAACCCTCATCTCAATTTTTAAAAAACTTGTTTTAAAAGCTGGGCATGATGAAAGGCTGTGTGTCATTAGACAGAAGAGCTTCAAAAATCAAGTGTTCTCTTAACAGTGTCTTTTTCAGTCTCAGAAGCAATAATTTACCTGTGTGCTAATATCTTGTGTTCATAGCCTTTATTTGCAGTGAGCTATGTGTATTTTACTTTCCTTGGCAGTTTGACTACCTGTGTGTTGATTTTACTGTTTGTAGTTACAATAGTATTATCGTTATCATTATTATTGTTATTGCATTATTTTGATGGTGAGGATGGAACCCAGCGCTTTGCACATGCTAGGCAAGTAAGTGCTCGGCTACTGAGCTACATTTTGGTTTTTTTTTTTTTTGGTAGTAGGGATCCAGTGTGGGACCTTGTGCTTGTGAGGCAGGAGTCAGAATCCCTGAGCTAAAATCCCCAGCCCCTAAGCTATATTTAAAAAAAATTTTTTTAAAAAATTTTATCCCATTACCCACCTCAAGTCCCCTCTGAGCTACATTTGTGTACTCTTAAAAATGATAATAAAGAGTAGTTTAACAGCCGGGTGTGGTGGTGCATGCCTGTAATCCCAGCATTTGGAGGCTGAGACAGGAGGATCACTATGAGTTTGAGACCAGCCTGAACTACATAGTGAGTTCCAGGTCAGTCTCAAATACATAGTGAGACCCTGTCTCAACAAACAAACAAACAATAAAAAAAAGATTAGCTTACCAGCTGGACATGGTGCATATAGTAATCCCAGTACTTGAGAGGCTGAAGCAGGAGGATTGCTGTGAGTTCAAGGCCAGATAGAACTATATAGTGAGACCTTATTTAAAACGAAACAACCAAAAAAAGAATAGCTTCCTTTTGCTAATGGAATTAATGGAATCTACTCTTTCCTCTTTATATATGAAGATATTCTGAGTAAAATAAGATATTTTTTTAATATTTTGAGTTTTTAAATTATTTGTTAAAGAATCAACTTTGTCTTTGATAAAGAAAAAACTAAAAATGGGTGTATGATGCCAGTGCTTGAGATATTTTAGATTTGTAGCTTATCAGCTTTTTACCATTCTTTGAACAGTACTTTGGAGTTTTAGTAAGAAATTTGGGCAGGATGCCCAGATTTATTTCTTCCTTAGAGGGAGAGGGGAGCAGTTAGACTATTCCCCTGTTTTCTTGTAGTAGGTGTGACTGAGATTGCTGCTTTGATGTCTGGAATAGAATTTAGGGAAAATACCTAGGTCTTGGATTTTCTTTGGAACCCGCCCTTATAAACCTTTCAAATTATAAAAGGACAATGATGGAAGGATATTTAGAAAAAGAATCCTGAGACCCTGAGGGGCCAAAGAACGTTAAGTGTTAGCTGATTTAGGAGAAACAGGGTACAGAGGAAGTAAATAGTTTTTCTTGGTACTTTTGTTTCCAGTTGGTTCATTTGGCTGGTGTTGGTTTAATGGGCCAGTACATCCTGTTTTATTAAATACAAGGTTCTAGTTAAATTTACTCTGTTCTGTTTAATTCGGGCTAGTGTTACATGTGCATGTGTTTGCTTGCTCACAAGGGAGAAATGCTTTTACTGATAGTTACTGTTTTAACACGTGCTTATTACTATTATTCTGTGTGCCATTTACTTGGCTTAGGGTTTTTTCCTTAGGACGTTTTATTTAGTCTCCACCTCAAATTAAAGAGCTTTAAAAATGAAACAGCGAAAAAAATGTTTTTTTTATACTGTGATTTGAATCCAGGAATTTTACACTGAGTTACTTCCCAGCTGCCCCCTTTAAAATTTTGAGGCAGGATCTTGATATAAATTGCCTAAGCTTAGTTTATTTATTTATTTTTTTTTCTGTGCCAGGGATCGAATTCAGGACTTTGAGCTTTTGAGCCTAGGCTAGCCTCAAACTCTTGGCAGTCGTGCCTCAGACTCCTGAGTGCTGGGACTATAAGTGTGTGCCGCCACACCTACCTACAGCAGTAATTCTTTGTTTTGTTTTGTTTTGTTTTGTTTTGAGACAGGGTTGCACTGTATAGTTGAGACTGACCTGGAACTCACTGTGTAGCCCAAGCCTGTTTTGAACTCACAGCAATCCTCCTGCCTCAGCCTCCTGAGTGCTGGGATTATAGGCATGTGCCACCACGCCCGGCTACAGCAGTAATTCTTAAGGCCTTATCCAAAAGACAAAAAACAATAAAAATCTTACAAGTTTCCCATAGTGTGTGTGTGTAAAAATATAGAAATAATAGAAATCAGATTACCGCATTAATAATAGTTGTAGGGAAGGATTTAATGAATGGTACAATTAGTGGGTGAAATTTAAAAACAATATTTATGGGAAATTGTAAGGATTATGGGAAATCTGTAAGGATTATGGGAAACCATTATATATTGGGAAACCTAAAAGGAAGTTTTTTTTTTTGTTTTTTGGTACTGGGGATCGAACTAAAGACCTTGTGATTGCAAGGTAGGCAGTGGCACCACTGAGCTAAATTCCTGGCCCAACAGCATTTTTTAAAAAGTAGTGACCATTTATTTGAAAAAGTAAAACAAGAGTGAGGGAGAAACTGGTTCTGCAGAGCTGGCTTGGGCCAAGTGAAAGGAAAAAGCAAGAAAAAAGCACACTCTGGAGGATGCAAGGTGGGTTATCGTGAGGAAAGCGAGGGATAGCCAGATAGCATTTTTTGAAACTAAACCACAAATAAGGAAATTAAAATCATATATACCTTCTCAACAGGACATCAGAGACTTTTTCTCAAAAAAAAAAAAATTACAAATGCTGTATAGTGTGAAAGCCTTGGGTTCAATCCCTAGTTCCACAGACAAAAACAAAATCCCTTTTAAAGACAGTGTAAGGCCACTGGCCACTGTGTTCAGTCTTGCATGGTGGTCCACATTCATGCCATAGGAAAGTGATGGGAAACCGTCTAGAGACGGAGTACCCAAACTGCAACCCCAAACCCACTTATTTATTGCAGCGTGCTAACAATGCAATTAAGCTTGAATACTGAGTTTTTAGTGTAGAGGAAACAACTCATAGTCTTGGCTCTTGTGGTGACAAAGAGGGTTCTGTGTATCTGCTGTGGCACGTGTGCCATATAGGTTGCCACCACTGCTATAGGGTATACTTCTTTTCCTACTTTTACTTGGTGTCAAACTCACTGTGCAGAGTCTGTTTCTTTTCTTGCCTATTATTTTCCCAAAATAAAACTTTGCTACCATGAAAAAAAAAAAAAAGAAAAGAATACTGTGAATTATTTGAATGTGGTTGTGCAAGTCTGTAAACCCAGCCCTTGGTGCTGAGGCAAGAGGATGGTGAATGTGAGGACATTCTAGACCATGTGGAGAGTTCTAAGCCAGCCTGAGCTAAATGGCAAGAGCCTGTCTCATGATAACAAAAGCAGACAAGCAGACAAATCCCACAACAACATGTAGATTTTTTTTTTTTTTGGCCCTTTGAAATTGTTTAAAGGAACATACAGAAATTGGTCATTGTAAGGAAGAATCTAGGAGGGATTCCTCTGGAAATCATGGGCAGTCTGTTGTGTTCAGGTCCTTGAAGGAAATCCCTGGAGATTTATTTATTTTTCTTAATAGCGCTGAGGATCAAACTCTGCCTTGAGAATGCCACTTAAGGGATCTACTACTAAGTCGTGTCCCTAGCCCTAGAATTATTATTTTTTTCCCGTTAAGTTTATTTGTACATTTAAAGCAAACAATACAGTTAGTTACATTTATCATTGGGATCTTGTACCTTTACATATGTCTTGGTTCTTATTTTTCCCCATAACCCTATAGGATTATTTTTTTAATTAGTCTTGGCAATGTTAGATATACATGAGTAGAGTCTAGTTTTCAGTGTTTCTGAAGGGTACACTTTTAAAAGTATAGAATGCTGGTGACATTCAGTGCTTGTACAAATAGCTTATGATTTCATATTTACAATGTGAATTATTTGTAATACAGGCTTTCAGAAATTAAGCGACGTTCCCCACTCCTGTACTTGGGATTGAACCTAAGTTACTCTTTCTGAGTGACATTCTTAGACCTTTCTTACTTTATTTTGAGAAAGGTGCTCTAAGTTTCACAGGATGGCTATCAACCTGCAGACCTCCCGCCTCAGCCTCCCCCTTTAACTGGAATTACATGTATGCATCTTTGCATTTAGCAGAATTGTATTTTTTTGAGGGGAAAAATTCCAGCTGGCTGGTAGGAAAGGATCATAAAAGTCCCTTCTTTAGAGGCTAACTATGAAATAATGATTAGCTGAGCATAGTGCTACACACCTGTGACAGACTGAGACAGAAGGATCGCTGTGACTTTGAGGCCAGCCTGAACTACATAGTGAGACCCTGTCTCCAAAGAAAATGGTCTTGGAATTTGAAGGAGAGACTGAATTTGGCTAGAACAATAGAAAGTTTATTTTCTATAGAGGAGTGGAATTTTTTTTCCTTTTGTTAACATAGCTTTTTTTGGGGTCTCTAAGAATGCGTATCACTTTATTTTTCTTTCTTCCTGGAAGTTTACTGATCTTAGAGATCGTGGTTGGTATTGGCTGTCTTTAAACTCTGTCAAGTTTAGTGATTCATTAAAGGGTTACTGTGGGTTTAGTTTGACTTCTGGTAAACGATGCATGGGGTTTTCAGGATTTGTAGTTTTTGCAGTGAGCTGTGATTTTTAGCCATGTTTTTGTTATAGACTTTAGAATGTAATTATATTTTATTAATGTGATTTTCTTGTTTTCATTTTGCAGTGATTATTTATTCAAGTTACTTCTGATTGGCGACTCTGGGGTTGGAAAATCTTGCCTCCTTCTTAGGTTTGCAGTAAGTTGAAATTGAAATGCTTTAAAATTAATGGTGTGGTTAGTGATACAATTAATGCTGTAATGCTGTGTGTTTTCTAGGTTGACAAAAAAATTAAACAATTTTATTCAGATCATATTACTTCCAAATATATATGGGCATATCTATATATATCAAAGCCTCCCAATATATATTGCCAGGGGCGGGGAAATATATATATATCTATATATATATATATAGATATA